GAGAGAGCCCGGGGGGGGGACACGGGGGAGGGGGGGAAATGGGGGCAGGTCTGACTCAGGGCTCTCATTCATTGGGAGACGGTATTCAGAATTATTTTCTGTCCTGAGTGTTCGCATGGTGACGTGGGCCCGGCCCAGAAAGACAGGTTTGGTTTCCAGGAGCCATGGGTGAGCCCTGGCTGGTGTGGCTCAATGGATAGAGTGTCCGCCCGCAGACTGAAGGGTCACGGGTTCGATTCCGATCAAGGGCATGGACCTCGGGTGCAGGCTCCACCCCCAGGCCTGGTCAGGGCGTGTGTAGGAGGCAACCAGTGGATGTGTGTGTCTCACATAGATATTTCTCTCTCTCTCTCGCCAGCCCCAGTCAGGGAAACCAATTGATGTGTGTGTCTCTCTCTCACATCAATGTTTCTGCCCCACCCCACCCCCTTCCACTCTCTCTAAAAATCAATGGAGCCCTAGCTGGTGTGGCTGAGTGGATAGAGCATCAGCCTGTGGACCGAAGGGTCCCGGGTTCGATTCCCGGTCAAGGGCACAGGCCCGGGTTGCGGGCTCGATCCCCACTAGGGGGCGTGCAGGAGGCGGTCGATGCACGATTCTCTCTCATCATGGATGTTTCTCTCTCTCCCTCTCCCCCCCCATTCCTTGCTCTCTCGGAAATCAATAAAGATATATTTTTTAAAATAAATAAATAAAGATGACGGTATTCAGGGGAGAGAAAAAAAAAAGGATGCAAAAAACCAGCATTGATTTCTTTCAACAGAATTTCCGAGGGGAAAGCCACCCCAGAAAGCCGCCCCTCAAACTCAAAAACAAGTCTCTCTTTTGCTTCTTGGGGGTTGAGTAGCAAAGATTAATATTTGAGGAAGGACCTAGTCATTGCAATGGCCATTTTTTTTTTTTGGCTAGTTTTGGATTTTCATTGTTGAATGAAGATTCGTGCACCAATGAGGGTCCCTCAGCCTGGCTTGCGGGGTTCGGGGTGAAACCGGCTCCCCGACATCCCCCGAGGGGTCCCGGATGGCGAGAGGGGGGTTCTCGGGGGACACACCCCGGAATGGGGCTCCCTCCTCTCCGGTTCTGGGTG